AGATCTTGGAGATTATTCCTGAAATAATGACGAATTATCATCCGATTTGTGACTACTAATTTAACGGGAATTCCCTTGTGTTTCTTTGTTAGTTCAAGATTACAATGCATATAAAAACTACAGTGTTTATTTTTCATAGCTTCTCATTAGGTTGGAACAAACAATTAACATATTTTGGTTATATCTCAGTCATTCTTCAATTCGTTCCACAACAAAGGCCAAATAACAAATAACTAGCAGTATTTCTCTCGGTATTCCCGGAATTGCGCTGTTTGAAACATTATCAAGAGGAGATACTCTCTAGCTCACCACACCATGTAATATATCAAACACGAGAGACAGTGTTTCAACGGGTTATCCAAACACCGAGAAGAGAGTTGAAAAAACGACGCGCAGCGGAGTATTTTTGACGAAATTCGAGGTGTTTGGATAGCCGATGAAACGCTGCCTTGAGTGTTTGATGTATCTTCTCAATCGACACAAAAACCAAGGAGTAAACGGAGAAGTAAAATCGTCAAAAGCTATGCTAATTAAGACCGATTATCCAAACCTCCATCACGGTTGTGATTTTCTTTGTTTTAACTTGCTGGATTATTAATGAGTTTGAGAAGTATATACCCAACAGGATGCCCAGTCTCCTGTCAGTTGGGATTTTTAACTCTGCCGTGTTAAGTACATAACTACACAATGAAAGCATCTAACTTAATTGGCCAATAACCACAATCAACCAATCAGAATAAGCCATTTCCGACATACCTTGTGCCTCTTTTTCAAAACGAGTCCTCGTTCAAAACCTTTTATATGAAAATCAGTTTGATTTGCATGAAAATGAACATGTAGGGGAAACACATTTTGATATGAATGGTTTCGGAGAAAGACTCGCTTTGACAAAGAGGCAAAAGGTAACTCAGAAATGGCCAATTCTGTTACTGCATTGAATAAGTTATACCAAATGTAACTTTGTCTCGTTTCGTTCAGAAACTGTTCTTCAGCTATAAAAATTAAGTCTGACAGAAACTAACTGTTGCGTCTTCTACTGGAAAACCGCGAATCTAGTTGGTCTCGTAACTATTCATTTTCTATTAAAGAAGTAGATTATGAGCTCGAGATTTTCACTCGTTCCGCTACGCCCTCGTCAACTATCACGCATAGAAATCAATAGCGAATAATCTAATTGTTTTAGTATAAATCTACCAGTCGTTCAAAACTTTGTCTAAATCCTCTTCGCAGACACTTCGAAAACGCTAAGAAGCGGCCGCCATTTTGTTAACAAGGGCATACTGCTACACTACTCACTATCTATCACAGAATAGATAGTGAGTAGCGTAGCCAATCAGAGAACGGCATTCCTGATAGAACGCTAGTGGATTTATATTAATCACTGATAGATCACGTGGCTCACGTGCGGTGCTCTTGAAAGGGAAAATTCTTCTTAAAAATACATAAATAAATAAGACTTGCGCCGAGAAGTTATTTAAAAGTGATTGTTGCTCTTTTACGTTTAGTTTCAAGTATTCAACCAGAGCAAAAGCTGGACTTCATATCCACCGTTAGAGTACTAAAAATAAAAAAA